TATTTTGACGACTTATATGCCAAAAAAATAAATTTAGATTATAGAAAAAATATTAAGTTTAGGTATCCAACTGTAATTTGCATAGTTGAGGCTTAATTCCTTTTATGGTGATGTATTTAATATGATAATTATGTATTTTTTATAGAAAATAGGAAAGTATTTATTTGATATGTATAATTGTTGAAAATTTTAGCCCGAGTGAAAAAGAAAAACAATAGAGAGAAGCAAAAAAAAAATACAAACTGAAATTCGCTTAAAATTTCACGTCTTCAAATCCCATAGGGGAAAATGACGACTTTCTAATAAGAGATAATCATATATATATATATATTTCTAATTGGACTCGACAGTGAGCTGAAAAAGTTAGTGATTCATTATTCAATTATTAATTGTCTAGACTGTTGGTCAATCGTGTATGAACCCGTTCATACTTGTGATTATAATACATACAAATAGTATACTAATTGGGGTTAAACGAAGAAGGCAACGAAAGAAGTAAAGAAATGGTTATGGAATGCGAATGAAAAATGAAACAAAAAGGAAGTAGATGATGAAAAGCTTTTGATCAATTCATTTAGTTGGCCGTCAATACAACAGTCAATCATTTTCACCATAGCAATTTATTGACGCTTGCTTATGTAGATGTCGCATATTTTGTTACATGTAGGTAGTTGAAGTTTGTTTAGTACCCCGTAAATGTACTTAATGAGTTTATAAATTCGCTCTTACAATATTTTAGAATCGTCTCTCTTATATCATTTTTTAAATATTTTACGTAATGAGCAAATATAAATTGGTCGAACCTTCTCCTACACTTGACTGATACAACATCTTGTATGGTACAAACTAAATTTATACTTTTATGTTATCGTGGATTGGATTCATGGATTGGTGGATTGGATTCATAGATTCAAGTGAAATCTAAACATTAGACTAATATGTAAATGTAAAAATTGTAGGTACTAAAATCTCATAAAATTTAGATACCAAAACATAATTGTTCAATGATTTTACATTACAATTAAATATGTGGTATCAAAATGTAAAATGTACATTATAGTGACTAAATTGTAATTTTATTAAATTTGTGAGATCAAAATGAAATAATTTAGCACTTCAACTTTATATATATTAATTAATATTATCCATTGCATACGGATTCGAGGTATTCCTGATTGTCCTGCATATAAAGAAGAACATGCACACACTTGTATTTAGGAATCTACAGAATACTTACTGTCACCAAATTGTTATTATTATATGATGAAAGCCTGTCGATCGAAGAAGGCAGAAATCCGTACCATGAAGGGTTTGCTTTGATAATTACGTTTAGCTGAGTTAAATCACAAAAAATTAGAGAGCCCAATCTGCGGTTCACGTGATCGTTTAGGGCTAAAGAATCATATTATTCTCCTTTATCTTTTTTTCTTTCTTGGCAAAAGCCTAGCTAGCTAACAACCAAGCTATTGCTACTGTGACACTCAGTTTCGCAATCGACTATTTAGTATTTAGTCGTCTCTCTTTGTATCGTTCGAAATTGAAGTTGAGGATTTTTCTTAGGGAATAAAATTATTGGAGGGATTTTGATCAATAGTTTATATGGTTAATATTTTTGTATGGCTTGAATTTTGACCAAAATAAACATCCTGGCCGATTTTTTCGATCTATAACATCTTGGCCCGAACTATACACCAAAATAAATAATTTGGCCAAACCCGATGTTTGACCGTTAACTTGGACGATCAAACGCAACGGTCAACGCACCACATCACTGCCACGTCACTGCCAAGTCAGAAGATCCGATAAATATTTTTTTTTCCGTTTTTTATTTTTTGGTTTAACTAATGTATTAGATGATTTTTTTAATTTATAATAATTTAAAATTAGGGAATGTGTGGAAATTGTGAATTATTTTAAATATTTTATGCTGACTTGGCAGTGACATGGCGCGTTGACTAATGGTCAACGCGTTTGACCGTCGAAGTTAACGTCAAAAGTCGGATGTGGCCAAATTGTTTATTTTGGTTTATAATTCGGGCCAAGATGTTATAGATCGAAAAGATTGGTCAGGATGTTTATTTTGGTCAAAGTTCAGGCCATACAAAAATATTAACCCTAGTTTATACTAGCATTCCGACCTTATTGTATGCTCATCAAGTTTTGTAATTTGGACAATGAATTGATTAAATTTGGAGACATGATAATATACCATGAGTGAACCTTAATCGTCCCTAATTCTCTAAACTCAAGCTATAAGCTTCTTCTAATCTAAAAATAAGAATTAACGATTCTAACTTTTTGATATATAGAATACATCTAATAAGTATGAACAGCAAATACTTATATTATATGCCACTAATATGCTAGCCTTATTTATCATTCTACAATAAAAATTTCTAAAAAACATAACACCATTTTATATGGAATCTCACTAAAATTATGTAATTATTTGAGCGTTAATTCTCAGTTAACGACCGATGAAGATTTTATTTTTAATTATTTAACTGTCCCGTTCGGGATCTTTTGGAGTAATTTTAGTGTGGGGTGATAGTGCACAGTCGATGCGTGGCGCATTTGTTTTGGATTCATAATTCGTCATCATTGTTGGTGATTAATTTCTTGGCTTCGGTGCGCCGGAAATGAAACTTCTTCGTTAATCCAAATAAAATTATCTTTGTTGTGAGTTGTCACACATTAATATGTTCTTTGTATAAATATATACTTTCTAAATATATAGCTTTAAAATACTTCCCAACCCTAAATATTTAGGAGGAAAACAACGAATTTTTGTCATCATGGAATGACGAATTGGTTTTGAGCATAATATTAGATCCTTTGGATGCATTAAAGGTATTGATGTTTCAATTTGGATAATCTCAATATTACCTTTTGATTTAGTTAAGCACAATAACATGAAAGACTTGTGGTAAATGAATGATATAAGATTTATTTATCAATATCTAAATTCGGGGTAATCGCGTTAAGTTGTTGGTTCACAGATCAATCGATACTTCCCTTTCTAAGATGATTAAGATGCTTTGCTAGCTGCCTTTACTTAACATAATTTTAATAAATAAAAAAACGAGTTTCACCAATAGACTAATGTCATGAGATTCGAAACTCGAAACCGATAACCAGTAACAAAAAAAAAAAAAAAAGAATAATACAGTTATCAATACTAGTCATCTGTTGACTGTTGCTAACTCAGCGGCCAATGTCGTCGTGCTTGATCACATCAGTTAACCATTTTTTTTCTAATTTATAATGGGGAAAAAACTGATAAATTTGTTATAAAATCATATACATATATTGTGGGTTTAGTGGATGCTAATTAACACCAATGATGGGGCTCTATAGTTGCTAGCTAGACTCCAATTATGAAAGGCCTAAATAAAGGAAAAATCCAAATATTTATTGGTGCTCCGTTTTACAATCTGAGACTCGGTTTTACCAAGTGGATGGATACAACAACGTTCATTCATCATCTCGTCCGCATTTTTCGTTTTGTTCATGTGAGGTAGTAGGGTCCGTAATGATCAATCACAAGAAAAATAGAGGGAATGTCACTGTTCTCTTTTTTCTTTTTCTTGGTCTTCACCTTAATCTCTGAGTGTACTTGGATAATGATAATAATATGATGTTTTCGAGCAGATAAATTATATTGGAGTTAAGAAAACACATCACATTCAGGCGGAAAAATGACTAGACGAAAATACGTGCAATGAGTTGATTGATTATCACACTAATGCGATCAGTCCAGTCATTTGAGTCGATTATGCTTATGGTGCTTCTGCTTCAACCAGAGAAATGTCAGTGCGGGAAAATATTGAATTTAATTGTATGTAAATACGAAAACATTTATTGAATGTTGTTTAAATGGTCACATCATGTTCTTTTTTCTGCTTATAATCCAATTGGTTCCGATATAAAGATCAAAGTGACTTGATAACACACAAATGAACATGTAAACCCTAAAGTCTAACGAATAACTCATCTTATAGACTAGTTATTGAGTCATATGTTGATCTCCAATCCAAAGACAATATCATTTCTCACGTAATATTGTCATTAATAAGTCTGGTGTATTATTGAATAAGGGTAGGCAGGTTCAAACTCGTAAATAAGTGTACTAATTTGGATGATGATAATGCACTATGTACCACAAATCCACAATATGTCACTCTTCAAAAGTTCGATTAATTAATAAGTTAATTAAGTTTGTGATTTGTGAACCAACTTGGTACAGTTTTTCCCTACTACTGTACGTGTTTAGATTGTAATCACACTTCGATTAGATGATTCCATGCTTACGGCCGAAAGAATCATTAATAATAACGACCAAGAATTAAATTAAACCACCGCAATTTTCCTATTATAGGAAACGGCGGGACACATTTTTCTCCCCACCTTAAAAACAAAAAACGTGTTGACTTGACAGCAGTAATCCTCTCTCGAATTAATTAATTTTAAAAAAATCCTTCTTAAAATCAAATTAATAAAAATCCCATGCAGCCAGCAAGTTGTAAATAACTATAAAAAAACCCTGTCTAATTATTTTCTGTGGCCATTCTCATTTCTCACACTCAGTCACAGTCAATCCATAATAAAATGATAGCCCAAAGAATTTCCCAATTGTAAATAAATATCTCTTTAATTATGGAATTATCACAATCACCCAACCAGCGGTCTCATCACAGAGACATCCTCTCAGCCGTTCGATCCAAATCACGCGTCGCATTTATAATTTCGATTAATGAATTGTTTTTCCTTCTTCCATTTTTCCTAGAGCGAAGCAAAATCTTTAAATCACAGTAAAAGAGAGGGGTCAGATAAAACTTAAAAGTACTGAGCGGGTTTTCCGGTGCAGAGGACGAATAAGGAAAAGCTGGCGCCACGCCACGTGTACACCCCTCCAGCCGTCCGATCACGCCCCATCGCCGTTCGCTCGATAAATAAGAGAGAGAGATAAAGGGAAGGAAAGGAAATGCATCGAGACTGGAAGAAAACTGTAGAGAAGTGCCCAGAGATAGATTTCCTTGTCTTCCTCCTTTCCTCCCCCTCTCCTCTCCTTTCCCTTTCTCTTTCATTCCTTGTTTCTGCTTTGCTTTCTTCTCTCTCTGGCTTTCGCCTTCTCTGTCTCGGGGAGAGGAGACGAAAGAAAGGAAGGAATTCATGAGTGAAAAGTAGGTCTGGTGACTGGTGGCCATTTATTAAATGGAGATCGACAGCATGAGCAGGCAGCAGCAGCAGCAGTAAGAGCCGCGCGGGAAGCAGGGAAAGAGTTGCAGTTTCCATGGCGGCGTTTGCAGAGCAGCTCTAATTCCGTGCCATTATTGCTCCCTGCTACCACAATTCAACTCACTCACACTCTCTCCCCAAAAAAAATATATATCAAAATTCAATTTCTCCTCTCCTCCTCTTCTGTCCTTCCTTCTCTCTATCACTACTACTACTTCAACTGTTAGTTCTGCAACTTCTTTCTCTGTTTCTCTCTATCTACCCTAATAACCTGAAATTCGCAAGTAGAGCCAGCTTGATTAGGTTTTCCATTTATTTTGGCTGAGAAATTAGGATGATAGGCTGAAATTCTGATCCAGAAACGGCGCCGTTTCTTTCTGCTATGGATTTGGGGAGAAATTCGGGTTTGGATTTAGGTAAGAGATGGCAGGGTGGTTCTATCTAAGCGGAAGAGACACAGTCATATCATCAGCAGCGGCGGCAGCAGCGGCAGCGGCAAGTAATAAAAGAGAAGAGGATAGAGACGACAACAGCTTGTTTCTGTTTCGAGACGAAGAGATCCACAACAACAGCAGCGGCGGCGCAAACGCAGCCACGGCAGGCGGCGGCGGCGGGGGAGGAGGACACAGAGGGTTCGGTTTCGAGATATGGCCGCAGTACTACCAGCAGCAGCACCAGGCCGGAATCTACGCAGCGGCGGCGTCGACGTTTGGGGCCGGGACGAGCCGGAGCTCTGATGATTCTTCTAGATCGGGCGGCGGCGGAGGGATCATGATGCGGTCAGGCGGCGGCGGCGGAGGATCGGGAGGAGGGATTAACTGTCAGGATTGTGGCAATCAAGCCAAGAAGGATTGTACGCACATGAGGTGCCGAACCTGCTGCAAGAGCCGCGGGTTCCAGTGCTCGACCCACGTGAAATCCACGTGGGTCCCTGCTGCCAAGCGCCGCGAGCGCCAGCACCAGCTCGCGGCGCTTCAGCAGCAGGATCCGGCTCAGCCATTCCGCGGCGAGGTTCCCAAGCGGCTGAGAGAGAGCAGCTCGTCGCGCTTGGCGACCGGCACCGGTTCAGGTAAATTTTTCTCAGCATCATTCATTGATTTGTTTCTGATTGTGAAGGGTTTGACTGAATGAGTGACTGATGAGTTGACTAAACTTTATGTTTACTGTTCGTTAGTAAGAGTGACGGAGTAAAGTGACTGAACAAAAAAACAATGTTTTGACATGAAATTTTGGGGTTTATGGTTTAGGGTTGGAAGTGGGAGGGCATTTTCCGAGCGAGGTGAACTCGTCGGCGGTGTTCCGGTGCGTGAAGGTGAGCTCCATCGACGATGCGGAAGAGCAGACGGCGTATCAGACGGCGGTGAACATAGGTGGACACTTATTCAAGGGAATTCTGTACGATCAAGGCCCTGATCATCATCATCACCATTCATCTCGTTACGGTGGAGAGAGCTCTTCCGGCGGCGGAGGAGGAGGGCAGCCTTTGCATCTGATAACGGCGGGGACGAGCGGCGGAGGAGGAGGAGGAGGCACAGCCGGGGCGGGAACGAGCGGTGGCGGTGGTGATCAGGCAGGCAACCCGGCTGCTTCCGGGTCGATGATGGATCCGGCTTCTCTATACCCGGCTCCGCTCAATGCGTTCATTGCCGGTACGCAATTCTTCCCACCCCCAAGGTAGAGTAAAATGAGGAAGACATAGAAGCGCAAATTTGTTGTGAGGCAGGCGGCTAATTGTTTAGAGCAGGGTTTCTCTTCTTTCAAAAATGACCTCTTTAGCTTTAGCTAGTTAGCTAGCGAGAGTACGTAGTGTAATATTAATGTTGCATTGGTGCAATTCTTAACCCAACACTGAGACACCAGTTATCTCATGAATCCTAAAATTCGGTTTGTCTTGATGCTGATTCTATTATAAATTTGTCGAGTATTCATAACGCATTACTGGATGGGTATAAGAATATTAGGCTGATGGTAGCTAAAGTTGGAGAAGGAAGAAGCTAGAGATGATGATTATAGTATAGGTTAATAGCGTTGAGATTCTGTGATGCATTATAATTGTTGGATTTGGGTTAATGACAACCCTAAATCCTCGTTTGTGTTGCCTTGTGGATGGGTGCTAGGGCTATAGCTTGTTCCTTTTTTCTTCTTTCAATCGTTTAACTTTAACCCCATATGAATATGATTAATTAATTAATTGGAGTATTTCTGGGGATTTATTAATTTGAAAAGGAATTTTTCTGTATGGCTGGTTCTGAGTCTGAGATGTGCTTTCTGAATTCTGGTTGGTGTTGAACTCGATGCCTGCTTTTCCCCCGGTAACCGGGTTTCCTTGCGAGAGGGAGAGAAATTGCTGGTTCCGTGTTTGGTTAACCAAAGAATTTTTTGGCCAACCCAAAAAATAATATTGCAGAAAAAAGTTCATATTGAATGTTCTTCGAAGAAGGGAGATTTGGGGAATTTATAAAAAGGAGACATAGCGGCAGCTTTATAGAGATTGCCTTCCACTAACAACACATGAGAAAAAAAGATGGCAGAAGTCGGCACTCCAAACCCACAAACCAGATTTCATGACATGCATGTTACTATAAAGCTTGCAGCTGGTATATGCAAAGTACAACATGGCCTATCATATGGATGACACTCTTGTTCTTATTTTTCATGTGCTTGATTATAGTTTTCAGACTTCCATTGTTTGAAACTTCTTGATTTCGACCGTTGTCTCTTGATTCGAGCATTTCTTTGTTCTTCGCGGTTTGCTTGCTTAAAAGGTGTTTTATGGTGTGGGAAAACGTAGAAATGGAGATGGCATTGGCATATATATATATGCTATATAACCCAAAAGAAGAATGTGGATGAGTTGTCCATCTCAAAACTACTTATCTGCAGACAATACAAGTTTTAGGCAATAGAATTGACGTGCATGGATGTGACCTAATACAAGAGAGGAGGGGTGTTTGGGGAGAAGATCGAGATTATAAGTAAAGCTAGAAAGAATAATTGCATGGGGCTCTCTCATTGTGAATTCACATATATGTAAATTCACATCATTATTGCACATTTATGGAGTTTTGAGAATGTTCAATGTGATGGAGACGAATGAACAGATATGCATGTGGATGTGGTATTGGATGGATATTCATGGTGATGCATTAGGGAGGGAGTTTGGTTGCAGGAATCATTTCCTTTAGAGGCTGCAACAACGAGGGTTTCAGTTAAGACTACATATATAACTCGTCTCCGTTGTTTTGGAAATTCATCAGGAATAACAATGTTTCTATTTAGTCACCATCTACTATAACTATGCTGCTGATTTAGAGGTCATTTTTTTTAATGTTTAAGATGTTTCGTGTAATTTGAAAATACATGATTTTTTTTTTTACTTTGTTGGATGCATATTTTCTTTGAATTTATCTGTGTATTTCTGGAATACTTTAGTTTAGGAATTCTCAAGAATACTCTCAAATTGATTTTGGTGGAAAAAAAAGCTCCTATTAACACACTACGATTAATATATAATACGATTATTATTTCGCTAATAAAAATTCGGTTTAGTGATGCTACCAACAGGTCCCCTACGTAGCACCTAATAATAATAAATAAATAAATAATATATGCAACCCCTACAAAAAAAAATGATTATTGGGTAGGATTTAAATAATCATGCATGGCAATCATGTTTGAATAAGTGAATTATATTGTTCTACAATTTTAAGGCCGATTGTGATGCACGCAATTAGTTGGCAACCTCAGCAATTTACATCATGTATACAGCTTTCTCCCATTGTGGATATTCATTGAATTGTCATTATCGATAATCACATATTGCTTTTTCTCTGATTACGTGTGTATATTCTGTTTGACCACCTTAAGTGTTGATTATTAACCAACTACTGAGCCGAAGCTTACGACTTCAGCTCTGTCACGAAGTATTTTGTCATTTGTGTTTAGTAGCATGGTTCCGACTAATCACAACTTTGATTCTAGTTTACAAAAATAAATATCCTTAGTCGTCAAATTAGTCTCTTTAATCTCCACACAGGGGCCCAAAATGATGGACATTATCGTAAAATAATTAGCTAGCTAGACGGCAAAACAACTAGCATCGTGGATATATATGCCTACCAAACTCTTTTGCTCAATCCACAGTTTTTTGAATTTTTTCTGAACAACAGAATTATTATAGATAACATAGGTTGATTGCAGTAACACCAGCTTGGAGTAGTGTAATTAGTGTATTTCAATGGCCGCGTAGAAGTTTCTAGCAGGTTGATTGGGCATCGTCTTATTTTTTATTTCCAAAAAAGATTGACGAATAGATTAGACGTTTTGCGTATGGCAAGAGACATAATATTTATATTTTAGGAGCAAAAGAGGGCTCCCCGGCCCACAAAAACCCACGCGGGAAGAAGAAGAAAGCAGAAACGACGTTTCTCGCTTCTGGCTTCTCCCTTGCTTTTACGTTTTCTGGTTTGAGTTTCGGATTTATTATTAGGGGAATAATTAGTCTAAGTTAAAATTCATTTGATTTCCTCCTCCCTAATTTCGGCAGCAATGGTCAAACAGAATCCTAATCACACACGCCGTATGGCAATTAATAAATTCAACAAACATAATCCCTTGAAATTATATATATTTGTTTTGTTCCCCCACATACCTACAAATATGATCCCTCATTTCGCACAACGAAGGTTGGAGCTCGTTTGATATTGGTTAGAATCCTAGGTAAAATTGTACATTGCTATTAGGGATGGACATCGGTCGATTCGATTCATAAGCCTATCGATTGAGTAAGTATTGGACAAAAAAAAAATAAAAAGGAAAAATGAGGACCAAAATCGGATCAAAAGAATTTCTGGTTTATTTGATTTGATTCGGTTTTTCTCAAATTCAATTTGGTCCTCCATTTATTTTTCATACGTAAAATAATTTATAAGACCAAAATCAAATCAAAATATATTTCATTCGGTCAGTTTCGTTCCAAATATCAATAGGAACGATTCTATATGGGGTGAACAGGATTGTTGCCCATCCCTAGTTGCTATGATGTGATTTTCGTTCACGATGCATCATCGAGTGGAAATTCTTCTTTTCGGATTTCATTTGACTTTTATGAATCTTCTTACTTTTTTTACATTCTCATTGTGAAAAATAAAAACCAATGTTGTGCTACTCGTGTTCTTGTCAACATGTATTGCACAAAACAACTATTTTTTGATGTTCTTACATCTTTTCTTCTTGAGCTAGCTCAAGAGCCACAATGGTTGGAGTGACAAACTAATAACTTGATGGTTATTTGTAAAGGTTTATATTGCTATCGACTCGTATGAAGTGATAGCAAAGTCCATGTTTATAGTACCGAAAACCTTTCTAGTGAAGTGTTCGTTAAATCCTTATCCAAGACCGATAAAGTAACGGCCAAAAAGTCGACCATTGTGTTTCACTAGTTGACCATAATGATGTCGCTACATCGTCCGATTCGACCATTTTTCAGGAACGGTCCACCGTTTTCTCCAAATCACCGTACAGGGTTATGGCCGTGAAATGTTTAGGTTCTGGAAACTAGCAAAGGGACCAGACCCAGCAGAAGGCGCGCATGCACATTTTTCTTTCTTCTTTCTGTTCCCTCTCCCTCTCTCCTCCTCTCTGCTTCCATTGGCGCCTGATTAAATACTGATCGATCAGTACTCGCCGGCCGCAGCCGCGTTTTATGATTTCGATAATAATTTGCGGTCCCAATGCAACTAACTATCCATTAACGCCCCGGCCGCAGGCCGCGGAGCCACCTGCACTGCAGTCCGCCGCCCGGCCTCTGCATCGCTCCATCAACCAAGTTGAGTAGGTTTATCGATAACATCAATTTCGGCGACAATTTTAGACTAGCTAGGGTTAGGGTGCAAGTAGTAGTAGCTAGCCAGTATAAGAGGCAGAGTTTGTTGGGAAATTAAGGATGTGTGGTGCACAGCTTAATATTGTGCCCAAAAGCCAAAAGACAAAAGCCAAACTCACTTTCGTGTTTAGTTTTTATGCATGCTATTGGGGACTGGGGAGCAAACGGAAAGGAAAATGACGCAAGTTTTTTTTATGCCATCGCGCGCTGATTGTCAACACTAGCCAGGACTAAAACACCTATAGTATACTCTAGGTGTCTAATTCTCAACAAACCTTAATTTGTGGGCTTTGAGGAAGAGCAATCCATGTAACGGATGGTTTGCTGTTTTGGTTGGAAATTAATTAATCGGCAAGAGAATGTGAAAGGGGGCATTTATTATGTTTATCTTATCATGTCGTTCGATAATACGAATATATATTATACAAAAACAACGAATATACTTAAAAAAAATGTTCTTCATCTACAAACCCAAACTCGAATGAATCAAATCTAATTGAAAAGAAACTCGAACATCCTCCTATCGTCTGTCGAGTATTCAATCGTTTGCAACAATAATTTTTTCAACACCCAAACAATAGTTGTTTTTACCTCAGTCCTCAAGCAGCAGCTCATTATAAGTTTCATGACGGACCCTATTTAATTTAATTTGATCCCTCCGTCAAGAGGTAAGCCATACAAGATAGCAAATACAAATTAAAGTCAAAGTGAGCACAACTCAAAACAATAACTAAACAGGCACGTGACACCATAACCAAGCAACAAAATCAAATCACTTAACTGAATGAGATTATGTAAATTGGACATGACGGACTACCAAATGCGTCGGGCTATTTCGATTGTTACTGATGAACAAAAGACTTCAATTCAGAGGAAGCTCCATCAGTGAGAGAATTTCAAAAAGTATAGAACCACCTTTAGCATCTACGTATACTGAAGTTGGATCCAAACATTTATCAATCACCACTTTGGCATCCCACTTGAAAATAACATGCATAAGATTCTTGCTATTATACGTAAAAAATTTATCTCGCAAGGCAAACATCTCAACCACCAACGGAATATCAATGAACTTTACCCACGTGACCCTTCTTCAATCGCTACATCAAAACTACGACGTAACTGAAATTGATCATCAGAGAAGAGGTTATTGGATATGTTAGGTCGAGCTCTGGTTTGAATGTCTTAGAACTGAGTGGCAAACATCGTAGAACGTCCTCATTCACACCCTTTACATGGAAGAACCATTGGGATGCTAAAGTCTATGGTTGTAGATTGTTGGCCTAAAAAAGAACCAAGCAACGGTTCTTTCAAATTCGCCACAATAGAGAAACAACTTGTAAGATCAAATAGGCGATGAAACTGAACACGTTGAACTTTCTCATCACAATTCAAATAGACAAACACAAGAACATATGAACACGAATTTCCATTGAAATATAGAAAATATCAGAACACAATATTGAGACCGAGAGTTTCATAGGGGAACAGACTGCCACGGTACCACCTGCTGAGCCGACCCACCCTACTGGACTAACAACATGACAGTCTGAAAAACCAAAAGAACGAATATATTCTTCCGAAAGCCCAGAGTTAATCAAATTCCCAGAAAAAGCAGTCTGAGCCCAAAGATAGCAGAAGCCTACTTGATCTTGAATCTGTTTACTATTTTCATAAGTTGGGCTGGGCTGGGCCCAAGCCACGATAAACCATAATCTGGGTAGGCGAGTAAATGCCGACCACTGAAACGGAGCGTTTGGCAGCTGTCGGCGGCAATAGCCAGCTAAAAAGCGACGGTGGCGCTCATATAAAATGAAAAAAATTCCCCGCGCGAAAGCGACGGTGAAGCTTCCTACCAAAAAAGTCAGCAGTCGTCAAAAAATCAAAATACACGATTCCTGCCATTTCAACCACCGCTCAATTCTCTCCGATCGGCGTTCCGATTCGCATTTGGATTCTCCTCTGTGTGCAGATTCTGATGTTTCTCTCTCTCGATCCTTGAGAAGACGGTACGACTTTAGTTTAGATTGTGGATCTGAAAAGAAAGCCGGTAGAGTATGGCGGAAGGAAGCTTTTGGCCGGCGATGGATCTGCTGCGGTCGGAGCCGATGCAGTTGGTTCAGCTCATCATTCCGATGGAATCGGCTCACCGCACTATCTCTTATCTCGGCGACCTCGGCCTCTTCCAATTCAAAGACGTAAGACTTCCGCTAAAGCGAAATTTTCTTCTTAAGCATATTAGAATCGCCTTTCACTTAGTTCAGATCTTTCAATTCCTGCTATGCTATTGCCTATTGGATTACCTTGACTGCAAAGATCGGTCACTTGCCGAAGTAGTAAAGGAAGTGTTCATGTTTAGGAATTCTTCTTTTTGGTTTGGATGAATTCCAGATTGCTGAATCTTGAAAATGCAGTTGTTGAAACTATTTTCACAATGTAGAAGAAGAAGCCTGCTCTTAATGCGCTTCCATGGCGTTTCTCTATGCAAGGTGGCCGTGGCATTCACAATCTGACAGTAGAATACAGTTTTCCAGAAACTTCATTGGATGAACAGTTGTAGATTGTAAATAGGCTTCCAGTGAAATAATATTATGTTTGATACGGAGGCAGTGAGTTGAGCGGCGCTAGATTTTAGGAATTTGTAGTTCGGAGAAGGATATACATTTAGATATTGGCGAGCTTAGCTCAATTCTAAACATATTACTTGGAGTTTAGGCAGTGAGATGAAATGCAGATGTTGTGACTGTTCTGTCTTGTGCATGCTGTTTTCACTGCTAGTGCTGCTAACCCCTCGGCACTTCTTCTTGCAGCTTAATCCTGAGAAGAGCCCATTTCAGAGGGCTTATGCTGGTCAGGTGAGTTTTGTTCTACTTCCCCTTTGAATGGATATCTTGGTTCTAGTGAAGGTTTACATCAGTTTGCAAAGTAGGGTAGACCGAAACTCGGCTCCTTATGCGAGTGTTATCCAACATACAGATCAAAAGATGTGCAGAAATGGCACGCAAGCTACGTTTCTTCAAGGACCAGATGAAGAAGACTGGTTTGTCACCTTCAACAAGGACTATAAACACTGAGATTGATTTAGACAGTTTGGAGGTATCTGTTGATTGAAATTATACGATTGATCATAGAAAATTATATGAATGAAGTTAATATATTTCTTGTTAGTTGAAAAATGATGTTGTTATCATCACTCATCAGGTGAAGCTTGGAGAACTAGAATCTGAGTTAATGGAAATCAATGCAAATGATGAGAAGCTGAGGCACACTTATAATGAACTGTTAGAGTACAAGCTTGTTCTGCAGAAGGTATAACTGATTCTGCTGTTTGGCCAATTTACTAGAAGTGTAATTTTTTTGCTGAAGTCGGAGGACTTGTATAAACGACTGAATTTCCAGTGTTGTTTTTAATATCATTTCAGGCTGGTGAATTTTTTAACTCAGCTCAAAGCACTGCTGCTGCTCACCAGAGAGAGTTTGAAGCACAAAGTGGTGGAGAAGGGTCCATTGACAGTCCATTACTATTGGAACAGGTAAGTGCTTCAATATTTTCTGTGGTCGAACTTTTGGACTTGTGAGAGTAATATGTTAGAGCTGAATGCAGGAAATGACAACCGATCCATCAAAACATGTTAAGTTGGGATATATTAGTGGCCTTGTTCCTAGAGATAAAGCTATGGCTTTTGAGAAGATTCTGTTCCGTGCAACAAGGGGCAATGTGTTTCTGAAGCAATCTGTTGTCGAAAATCTGGTCGTTGATCCAGCATCGGGAGAGAAGGTGGATGTCCACAATTTGCGTTTTTCTATCTTCAGTTTGAATACTAACAGAGCACATAAGTTGCATTTGAGAAACTGAAACTTACCATTCTGCAGGTTGAGAAAAATGTATTCATAGTTTTCTATTCTGGTGAACGAGCCAAAAACAAAATTCTGAAAATTTGTGAAGCTTATGGAGCAAACCGCTACCCATTCACAGAGGACCTTGGCAAACAGTTTCAGATGATTACTGAGGTACATAATGCTTACATTTGATTTTCCATGAACTTCCAAGATCTTCATTACAATGAACTGCCAAACATCAACATTTTTATGTCAACCTTACTGTTAACTTGTTGCAAATTCTTTAGACTACATCTTTTCAGTTCACTTGACCTAGTGGTTGGTTGTTGCTTGGTAATTAATGTGGTAAAAATTAGCTGATTTCTAGGTTTCTGGAAGACTTTCAGAACTCAAGACTACCATAGATGTTGGAAAGGCACACCAGAGCAATCTATTACAGAGAATCGGCTTTCAGATTGAGCAATGGACCGCCCTGGTATGTTTTGACTTGTTTCCTTCATTGCCCCAAGTGTTGCCTCTTTCTTAGTGTTCCTGGAAGTGTTTAGCACTTAGTAATTCTATTTTATTCCTAAATGTGTAGGTAAAGCAGGAAAAATCTGTCTATCACACTTTAAACATGCTGAGTATAGATGTCACAAAGAAGTGCCTTGTTGCTGAAGGTTGGTGCCCTGTTTATGCAGCCCATAAGGTGCGCTGTGTGATTTGTGATGCCTAGTACAGTAGTTCATGGTTAACCATCGCCTTATTTTTCTTGAAGCAGTATAGTTATGTCCAAATACATTTGGAAATTTTCTCTTCAGATCCAGGATACACTGCAGCAGGCAAGGCTGGACAGCAACTCACAGATAGGAGGCATATTCCAAGTTTTGCAGACAAAGGAATCACCGCCTACTTATTTCCGTACAAATAAATTCACCACGCCGTTTCAAGAGATTGTTGATGCTTATGGGTGAGCCAGTCATGTGTAAACTAAATAAAGATGTAGCTTCTGCTAGGCTAATGCAACATTTTTTTTATAAGAAGCTTTGCAATATGTTCTCTGCTGATTACCAGTGCACATATTTTACCTGGTGGTGTTACTATTGACATAACCATTGTGACACGTCATTCAGGAACTAACAAACATTTTTTTGCCAGGGTTGCAAAGTACCGTGAAGCAAATCCTGGTGTTTTTACAATCGTGACATTCCCATTCCTTTTTGCTGTGATGTTCGGTGACTGGGGCCACGGTATTTGCTTAATGCTGGCCTCCTTATATTTAATTGCAATGGAAAAGAAGTACTCTAACCAGGTAATTCTTTGTTTTCTGGGAAACTATTGAGTTATCTGCTACTCTTGCTCAGTTTCTGTTAGTTATAGCTGAATTGGATTTCTTAAGCAGAAGCTTGGCGACATCCTGGAAATGACATTCGGCGGGCGTTATCTTATCTTGATGATGTCAATCTTCTCAATATACACTGGACTCATATACAATGAATTCTTTTCTGTCCCTTTTGAACTCTTTGGCCCATCTGCCTACTCTTGCCGTGACTCATCCTGCAAGTATGGTACTTGAACTTTACTTCTTACACAAGTAGTCTTCTCTGATTATTCTACTCCACATCTATTCACTTCTTATCAAACTAAAATTGCATTGCAGGGATGCATATAAGGCTGGTCTAGTTAAGGTGCGTGACACTTATCCATTTGGTGTGGATCCTGTGTGGCATGGAACCCGGAGCGAGTTACCTTTTCTCAACTCAATGAAAATGAAGATGTCGATTCTCTTTGGAGTAGCACAGATGAACCTTGGAATAATACTGAGCTACTTCAATGCAAAGTTCTTTTCCAATAACCTCAATGTCCGGTGAGTAATATTGTTGAATTAGACTCCAGCGAGGTTCCTATATCAGTTGCAGTGGAAAACTAACTCTAAATGAAGCTTTTATACGCATTTTCATATATCAGTTTCTTTCTCTTCATATATTTTTCTTTGTTGGCATTGTTTTAACCTGCGAAGTTTGTTGCAGATATCAGTTTGTACCCCAAATGATTTTCTTAAACAGCTTATTCGGCTACCTCGCTCTCCTCATTATAGTGAAATGGTGTTCGGGCTCACAAGCTGATCTGTACCATGTGATGATATACATGTTCCTCAGTCCTACCGATGATCTGGGAGAGAATCAGCTCTTTTTCGGCCAAAAATATCTTCAGGTCTCTCTCTCTCTCTCTTGCCTTTTTTTTTTATCTTTTTCTATTTATCAATGAAGTTTCCCCTTCAAACACAAGGCCTAAATCTTTACTTCTCCACATCTTCACTGCCAGATGCTGCTGCTCGTATTAGCCCTTGTTGCAGTACCATGGATGTTATTTCCTAAGCCTTTCTTGTTGAAGAAGCAACACGAGGAAGTATGCTCTTAACTTCTCAGTCTCCAAATACAACATCATTCATAAAAAATAAAAATAAAAACTTCTCAGTCTAATTACTTGCCACTTCTCTAGAAAGAACTTCCACTCATTTTCTCTAATTCTCATGTTTAGAGGCACCAAGGTCAATCCTATGCCCTACTCGATAACGCGGATGACAACCTTGAAACCGAGCATCATTCCAGCTCCCATGGTCACGAAGAGTTTGAATTCAGCGAGGTCTTTGTCCATCAGCTTATACACACCATAGAGTTTGTGCTCGGATCGGTGTCTAACACAGCATCATACTTGCGCCTCTGGGCCCTCAGGTCGGTTGCTTCTGCATTTTTTACCTGTAGTAAGCTTACATCAGGATCATCGATAATTCTCTAACACCCGAGTCTCTAATATTTCCAGTCTAGCCCACTCGGAGCTTTCAAGTGTCTTCTATGACAAGGTTCTGCTCTTTTCATGGGAGTAAGTGTTCTTTCTTTGCTATCATTTAGCTTCAACTCTCAACAGCCAGATTCTCTTCCACGGAGTATAAGAAGTCTATACTTAATAATCCTTGCAGGTTGAACAATAGGGTCGTTCTTATCATCGGCATTATCGTGTTTGTATGTGCAACTGTTGGTGTTTTACTCGTCATGGAAACCCTGAGTGCATTCCTCCATGCAATGCGGCTTCATTGGATTGAATTCCAAAACAAGTTCTACGAGGGAGATGGATACAAGTTCTCCCCCTTCTCGTTTACTCTCCTGCTGAGTGAAGAAGATGAAGCAGCATGAATACAGCAACTCGTAAGTTCGAATTGTTCTGAACATATGGTACAGAGGCTACAAGCAATTCTTTTGAACTCAACAATTGAGAAAGCACGTTATAGTAACCAATTCTTCAGGCTCCTGGCTGTTGGCAGGACGAACACTCTGGCTGGATATCTCGGCTGTCCCCTGGCGACTATGAACTAAATTCATTGCAGTGGCAATTGGTACATCGTTGCCTCTAACCCGATTCATTTCTCTGCCACAGTTCGTTAAATTTGTTCGGCCTGCTACATTGTATCATTCATTGGTTACTTCCTAGGTTATACTTTGAAATGTAATGTAATATTCGTGTTGTGAATAATAAGAAACCGATTTTTGTACCCTGCTATTAGAATCAAATTCAAGATGCAAGGCACTATCTAAAGCACATTCATCTGATAATCCTGTGCACGCACCTCGAACAATCGCAAGCAATCAGGATATAACTAGGCCTGTTTACTTTCATTTCTGTTTCCTGTTTTTTAGAAAACAGATGTTGAAAACAGATGAAAACAACATTTTGTCGTTTCCAAAAACAGCAGGAAGTTGCCACTTTCTGTTTTCATAGTTAGAAACGAATAGAAAACAGAATGAAAAGTAAACAAGTTTTCTCATTTCGGTTGCCAAATTTATCACATGAAAACAGAAAACAGGAAACGAAAATGGAAGTGAACAGGGCCTAGCGTTTTTGTTAAAGCTAGCCCAAGGTGGCAGAGTGGGCACTCCAAGGTCCCAAATCTATCAGTTGAGATCGAATTCATCCAAGTATGGGAGTTCTACAGGCCTGTAGTTTGTTCCCATCTTTTGCTGGTTGTCATTTTTCAGTGATGAAGATATTGTAGTTTAGTGACGGGATGTTTCCTTAATCCTATGTTTCTTGAGGAAAAAAGTGGGTATGTTACTTTTGAGGAAAATATTTGAGGAGTGGAAAGTAAATCATTTTAGGTACTATCAAATAGGAATGTGTAAATGGTTACATTTATCTAAATTAGGATAAATATGTTCTTATGGTTCATTTCTTCATCTCTTATCTCGAAACTCTTTTCAATCTTGAATACACATTTTTTTACCTCTCAAATTATGAGTTGTTTGTAACTTGTTTTGTCACATTATTCTGGCAATGTTAAAAGCACCTAAACATCCTAAGAATAAAGAAACTTCAATATTACAGCTTCGACAAAGCTTGTAAAGGAGATAATGAATTGTAAGCATATGTGGCTAGATCCCTAATCTTCATTAAGATTTAGTGGATTAAGATTTTCGAGTTAAGAGCATTTAAACCCTCATATTGACCCAAGAAAATAAGGCTGAAACACATCTTATCGTTCCAAGCCAATCCCCCACAAGTTGGTCCCCTCGTAGAAGAGGCGGACATTATTTTTCAAAACCCTAATATCTCTGTTCTTCGAGTCTAATTCTTCACTAATTTGAGCATCAAAATTTCAATATCTAAAAACGTCAATATTTGCCTTGTTTTGCAAAGAGGATCACTTAGGTATCCGAAGAGAAACTGGAGAAGGTTGATTCAAGAATTATGGAGATTCGAAGCAAACCATAAATTAAAACCCGTGCCCTGATAGCAACCAACCCCACATCAATAGATACATTAACGAATCTATTGTTGTCAAAAGTGATCTAGGGTGAAATTCTATTCACATTTTCATTTGCTTTATTCATGGTTGATTATTGATTATTATGTGAAACATCAGTTAGTCTTAGTAATTCTAATTATTGAGTAAATTCTAACTATAAATCTTATACGAGTTTCTTATATGTACCCTTAACTAAAAGAGAAACCACGAGGTTAAAGTTTACACAAGCCTATGCATGCTCCAATGAGGGAAAAAGTTGTTCTAATTATTTCATGTTCTTTTGCTCTCAAATTCAAGAATGGGATTTCAATTGAGTTGGACTAAGTTGTACTTGTGTGTCACATTATTATTAATTGGTGTGGTACTAGTTGCTCATTTATTTGGTAGAGATCGTGTTCTTGTTGTGGACATGGTGGTGGTTGGCACTTGCTGTGGGACCGCCCGACAATTGGCAAACCATGGAAGAGGTCAAGAGGGTAATCATTTTTATCATTATGTTGGAATGATTGGATTTCTTTTTTGGTAACCATAATGATGATTATTGGTCAACCGGATGCCCTCTATTTGTTGCAAAGAATTTGACAAGTTCCCTTTCGTTTCGTTTCATTTCATTTCATTCCCCCCTTTCTTTTCAGCAGATAATTAATTTCAACGAAACGCAAGGAATTCCCCTCTTCTAAGGTGGAAAACCATAATTAAATAGAACATTTGGGGAGGAAAGTGTCGAAAATTGAAAAGACCACAAGGCAACGTTTTGTGAAATTGATGTGCTTATAGTTCGTACAGTGAACTTCTATTGAAGGGATTCGAAACTAGGACCTCCAGATTCGAAACAAGATATGTTTTCTTTTACAATGTTGATAGCTAAAGATGGTTTTATAAATATGAATTTTTAACATGTCATATACCATTAGATCTCCCTGAAACATAAATATCCTACACATACAATTGCGGAGGTAGAAATCTGAGTGAGGAGGGGGGCTAAAAATTTACGTTCAAGCGAATGAAACCCAAGAGGGGGCTAAAGGGCAAAAGGATTATCACCTACTCTATTATTCAAATTTGTTATAAACCTTATACGTAAATTTACACAATTTTAAGAGTTGAGGTGGACTATAGCCCCTCCTGGCTATAACTTGCTCCGCCACTGTACAACATATGGAGATAACCCAATTCTTTCATTTAACTGAAAGTTGTTCTTTAACATCAACCCCATATTATAGTAAAATGGCTTCTCTAAAAAAAATTATATGTACGTAAATGGCTGTTGATGACTGTTTTTATAAGGCCAAACAAACAGCCCATATGTCTTGGGGGAGAAGTACCTGGAAATGGCAAACTTAGTACTGGGCCAACGGCTGACAGTTAGCTATGCCTGCACTTTGATTCACCATCGAAGTAATACACGACCCCATGAAACAGGAGTGGACTTAGAGTTTTTGATGGGAAAATCAACAAGTGAAGTGGAAGTGATATGTCTCGACGTACAAACATTAATAAGGTGAAAGGATCTCTTCATCATTCCCAACCCAACTCATCAAACTTTTGGGACTTTCAGCTTTGTGGCCACCGGAAAGTGCCAACGACTGACTCACTGTGAGAGTGAGAGTCTCTTAAATGCATATATGTACTTACGTTTGCATGGCATTCTTTAATTCATGGTCATGTACATGTACCCCGTACCTGTGTTACATATTTTACTATATCGAAGCGATAGTGGATTAAATAGGTAAATATGCTGTCATTTTAGGATATTGCTCTTCAAACTAATTAAATAATTTAGTTAACTACGATAGTAGAAATTGTCTTAATTAGTTAGTAAGCGGTAATTCTCGATAGAGATAGCTATCAATTTAGAGGTATCCCGACCGTAGAAGTATGGATTAAACTGATTAGCAAGGGTAACTATATTTATTGTGGCTTCTATCGTACACCATACAATCTCCACCGTATGCGTCCATCTCAACGGCCAACATAAATGTGGTAATTCATTTTATAATTCCATAAAAAATAGAAGCCGCATTAATGCTGACCGTTGAGATGCATCTCAACTGTGGAGATTGCCTGGTGTCAGGGGCGGACCCAGGAGGCTTTAGGGGTGTCCCAGGACACACACTAAATTTTGGGGAAACGATTATTCAACCCCCGATGGTAATTTACATATGGTCAAAAAATTTATAATTGATAGTGAGGGACACCCCTGAAATTGAAAAAATGATGATTCTACTGTCATTTTTAAAATTTGTGTATGAGAATATAAGTGGTAGGTTGGGTAATTCAAACCTAGAACACTATTATTATTAATAAACTTAATTTTCATTAAACTACAACTCATTTGTTGTTCGATTTTGAATACTGTGTAATAGTAAAATGTCATTTCCTATCTCTAATTATTTTCAAAACATAATTTTAAACTAATTTCAAGCTACCCTTAATTTGTATTGATTTTACGATTGTAAGGTAAGTACTGAAAGAGTCTTTCAGCTTTGGGTTACATCAAGAGCAAGTTTACAAATCGAATATGCGATAAATTCGTGAATGATTGTCTAGTAGGATATTTAGAGAAATTGTTTTTTAACACTGTAGACATCAAGTGTATTCTACAATTATATCCGAATATGAAAATACATCATGGACTTTTTTAACCTGTACGAGTAATGTATTTTCTTATTTAATTTTTATTTATTATTTTTATTTATATTTTAAAATGGGACACCCCTATGAAAAATTTCTGGGTCCGCCACTGCCTGGTGTATGACATACACCAACATTACCAATTTAATTGGAAACAACAATCGACAATCATGATTCATCTAAATATATATAAGAAATTACATGCACAATATTAGGGTTTAGGGTCTATAATTTAAATAACTAAGATCTATTGAGGGTTATAGTATATTATCATGCCCCAAAATTCAGTCAATTCGATGTCTAGATAGCATTTCCTTCCTCAACAATGGCAAATCCAGGGTTGGGCCACAACTCAGCCCTCCTCTAAGTGTAGAGGTAGTATATTACTTATGAGATTGTCGATTTTAGATATTCGACCAAGTGCTATTTAAAAGTCCGTCTAGTGTTATTTGATAACACAATTTTTTATTGTTAGGAAAATGGTCTAGAGAACATATCCAAACCACTACTCTAAAAATTAGCATATAAATTCAAACCTCAATGATTTTCATTGAAAAAAAAAACAACGAAATCTAAAAATCTAAAACTTAAATGAATAAAAGTATAAAGTTTCATTGAAATAAACAAAATCTCTACAGGAAAACTCACCTTCCCTATATAAAGTTTCATCATTCAGATTGCTTCACTTGAGTGATGCACTAGATCATTAAAAAATTTATCTGGTCTTTTAATGAAGAAAATATTTACAAACTTGATCAAGTGTTTAGTCTAGAGACTTTGAAAGCTATGAGATGCATTCTTTTAAGAATGAGCTAATATTACGCCACTCATGTGGTTCATATTCAGAGATATGAACTTTCTTTCCTTGCAAAATTTCTAGAGGAGCATGTGGAAATATGGATGAATACATAATAAAAATCGATTTGTCAATTGATTCGTCTGGTGCGTAACAAAATGAGCAATGAATGTCTCACTGATTGATTAGCTATATTTTTTTAGTGACAGTATCTTATTGTTATTGATGAAGACTCTATTATCGATAGATTTGCTAAATCAATAAACCTTGGTATATGATTAACATTGTAATGAAAACTATAGTCATTATAAATTTTTGGATAAATACAAATTATTAGCCAAACCTTTCAAATTTTCCAAATTAT